TTTGATAATTTTGATAATTTTGATAACTTAAATAATATTACATATTGATTGCTCATTCGCTATAATTAACTAATTTAATGAATTATTGATAAATTAAAAATATTTGCATTTTAATAATGCGCATTCACTTTCATGCAATCATAGTGAAAATCATGTAATAGCAGATATAAATAATTGTAATTTAATTGGTGTATCATTCAGTAATCACAAATTTAAACTGAGATATTGCAACGATTTTAATATATTTAAACATACATCATTAGGTTATAACACACAAGGCAAATAATGCTCGTCGATTGTGACGAATATGAGTTGCTTTGCCAATAATTGTTCAATAATAGCTTTACAATCTAAATTTGCAAATTTCTCTTGTAATTTTAGAAATGAGATACCTATTTCATCTTTATAAGTACTGATTGTACACAACATTTCTTTTTGTTGGTCATTCAAAATGGTTTCCGGCGACAATGATTGTTCCTGTTTCAAGCTGAATTGACATCGCTTTTTTTTATCAACTTTAAGTTTCACTCTTTCCAATGAAATATTTGTTTTTAGTACCAATAATGTGTGGTTTATAAACAATTGAAAATTAATTGGTTCAATCAACAATGCGTTGAATAATAATTCCGAGCTGGTATTGATGATTGTGCCAGTCAAACGTACATAATGATTATCAATGTCCATCGGTGAATCGTCGTTCCATTTTACGGCAGCAATTTCATCAGTATCATCTTGAATAACCATGTCGATTTTGTTTTCATCTCTATTATACGATTTCACTTTGCCAACAATAACAAACATGTAAAAATCAAATCGATGAACAATTACACTGTTATAAGAATTCAATTTCTTTATTATATGTATGTTAGTCCTCAAAATTCGGTCCGGCATTTTAAATAATCAATTAAGATTCAATTACGTTGACTAAGCATGGCATTTGCAAAAGCATGTGTTTAAATATTGATTTCGATACTGTAATTTAATGAATCGATGTTTATATCGATTTATTGAATCTTTAACATATGTTAATTTAAGGTGTTTTTCAATTGTGACTGTGAAATATTGTTTAATCTTGCTTATTGTTTGATTGCTTGATTGTTTAATTGCAATTTAATTGCTTTTGTTGCAAAATGTTTCATCGTGTAATTTCATCGTCAATGTCTAAATTTCTGAATCAAAAAGTCAGATTGTTAGCGCAATTTATCGAAGTTGATGAAACAAACCATATTGGAAAGGTTAGTGATTGCTCCAATACAGTTGTTTTTGTCTATAATTTTAAAACTGGTGGCTTGCGTGTTGATGATTGGATCGAAATAATCGGCATTTCAAAAGGTAGGAGTTATCTTCATGCAATCGAAATTCAAATTTTATCCTCTTCAGATTTCTTGGATTTCGATAAAGATATTTATATTGAAACCATTACATTATTGCAATCGGATTTATCCATTAACAATTACATAATATATAATGTTGAAGATCATTGGGGTGGTAAAGAGCAAGTTAATTTATTGCAACATGACCAAGACAATGGTAAACCTGTACAATTACTAAATCCCATTCCTGATCAAAGTAATGACGATGGATTCGGTTTATGATAGTTTGAAAGCAAAGCCACTTATACCATGCAATTGGCTAAGATATTAAGTAATAAAATGTTACTGTTTATGTTATTTAGTGTTATTACCGATTGTAAGAATATGTAGAAGCATAAATATTATGATTAAAAATTGTATTGTTTTCTACGAAATGTCATGTATATCCACTTCTTTAAATCGAAATGATATTAGCGATTGAGATAAATCTCTGTTTGTAATTTCAATTACAGTCTTTTCACACTTATTTTGACAAAAAAATCAGAGCTATCTATTGTTATCGAAACTCTAGCCCTAGCATTAACAGTGCTAGCTTAGTAATTTCGTCTTACTTTTGGCAATTCAATAGACGGCGCTGTTTTTTGTCAAAATAATCAAGTAACTATGGTATTCACCAAGTATAAATTATTATGCGCAAATTTCAAAGCAATTTGCTGTTTTTCAATAATTTTTATTGATGTTGCGCATGACCCCAACAAAATCGGCCTAATATTATTTTGCGTAAGCTAAATTTCTCCTTCTCTGGTCTCATTCTTCATCAATATTATCATCTTGATCCAAAAATTATCTTCATCAACAGCATCTTCATTATCAGATTCATCTTTACTCTGACCAAGCATAAGGTTACCTTAAAGGTTGAAAGAAACATTTCCGTTTCAATCTCTATGAATTTGAAGGAAAATGAAAAAAGATGCAGAAAAAAAAGGCTTCATCATTTTCATCTCTAACATCATTCATCTTCAGTTTGCCGTTCAATCAACAAATTAAGGTTGAATAGGGAAGAAGAAGAAGGAATGAAAAGCAAACAAAATATGTCAAGATCAGTGTCAACCGGCTTTTTGCCCATTTTTAGCCATTAAATCGTTTCAATAACTTTTCTCCTGGCTTCTTCCCTGAAATGAGAAGCCAAACTATTCCAGCATTCACAGCTACTTCTTTTTTTATTATACAATTTCATTTGTAAATGTTTACCTTTAACAAATTATAAATTTGTACACAAAAAAAGCAACTTAACCGACACCATTAAACCCTGTAAATGGACACATGTTTATATTGTAACACCCTGTAAATGAAAATATCATATTCAGTTGCTATTCAATCACTTCTTGTAATGTTATTCAAATACACTTTTGGGTAACAAGGGACAATTGATTATAAGGTTCAACTTGAAAGTGCCTCATTTCCGATTATAATTGTTGTAACAATCAACAAATATTGGTTAAAATATCATCAATATTTACTTGTAACCATTTTTCATGTTAACATTAGCATTTAATTTTGACGCCTTTTCAATTGTCAGTCACTTTTTTTTCATCCATTTGTTTTCAATGGTTTAACCAGTTTAACCTTATTGAAATGATCTCATTGAGTCTAATGAAAGGTTAATGTTTGGTTTTTGTGGTTCCTTTGCCAGGCTTTTTGTGCCTGTTTTGGTAATGATTAAGGTTTGTACAAGTTTCCTAGATTAATGTTAATCCGATTAAATTGTACTAAGAATCAGTGTTAACAAGATAACATTGTTATCCAGTCTTATCCTTGGGTTACAGCTTTTGGTGTAAAAAGTGTCCGATTGTTGCATCTTTTCATCAATTGTAATGTTGCTGGTTTTCAATGTTAATTGTTGACAATAAAGAAACTTGAAATCATATGTTGCCAAAAATTATTTGATTGACTAGATTAATGATTGGTAAAGGTAATGATTTGGAACGGGTCAATGTTTGCTTTATAATTATTGGTTTGGTCAAATGATGGTTTCATGCTAATTTGAAGTGTGGCTAGTTTTAGCTTATTTTTGATCAACATTATGGTTTACTAATAGTTAATGATTGATTGTCCTTTTGTTTTAAACCTTGTCCATGTGTGTGGTTCCTATTGAGATACAGTTTGACCAGAATGTGATTTACATTGAAATGTAATGACACGCTTAACACAACAATTAATCTTGCTGTTGGGTCAACTTGTTGGGTTCAACAACAAATGGTCAATAGTATTTGAATAATCAATTTATTGGGATGATAATGTTGCTAGATGGACTTACAGTTAACATAAGGAGTTAACTAGATTCAAAGGTAAACACAAGGCTTTTAGTATTGTTATTGTGATATTTATGGTTAATTATGTAAATGTTTAATGCCTCTTGTTGGTCATTTTTGCTGTACCTTTTCAATGTATCAATTGTATTGGGAGTTTGGATCAATTTAGTTAAAGGTTAATGTGTAAGGTTGGATTTAATTTTGAACAAATTGTTGAGTTTATTGAAAGTCAATTGAAATCTATGAAACAAGGACAGTGACTCTCAAAAAATGGTAATGTTGGGTAAACATAAAACAATGATCATCATTGGGATTGGAAACTAAAAAAAGGTAGAAACTCACCATCGGGGAAAACATTGCGAATCTTGAGATACGAAGTGGTTAATCTAATTATTGATGCTTTATCCAATTGTCCAGTAATTGCTGATGGTAATGGCAACAATTTACCAAGTTCAAGAAATTCAGCATTTTCCTTTTCTCGGCGAGTCCGAGCTGCATTTTTAGACTTTTCCTTCATTTTTGAACACACAGAGGGAAGACAATCACTAGGAACAATTTGATTTATACATTTAAGTATTTAATTTAAGATGGCAGATTAATTGTTACGAGAATGATGATTATGTTAGAGTAGTGGTGATTGTTGGACAAGATGTTGAGATCACAAAAACATTGGTAGTTTGTTTACACTTTGTAGGCCTAATCCAAGGCAGGAAAGGGCAAAAACACTGGAAATTAATTCAAGTCAAACTGTTTAAAATGAATTAGATTGAATTGTTGAATGGATTTCTCATTGAACTCCAAGTAAAATCAGTTAAATTTTAGTATTTTAGGCCTTTACTGGGCATACAATTGACTATAATAATTGGGAAAACAAAAGGTGCAAATGATTTCATTTAAAATGGTAAGCAAGCAATGAGAAAGAAGAAAAAAGTTGTCGAGAACAAAATTTACACTCTTTACAGGGTTGGATATCACAGGGTTGGAAAGGTATGTTGTTGTTGTCTTTGTGTTGATCATAATTGAACAGTGAAAGGGATAAAAAGGAGGAGGATGAGGTGGAGATGAAGGAGGATCAAAGTGAAGTGGGTTGCCAAAAAGGCGTTCAATACATTGGTGTAAAAAATGGTTTGGTTTGTTGAGTTGAAGTTGAAGTTGGAGCAGCATAAGGTGAACATCATTGAGTCTAATTTTATTGCGCATAAAGTAGGCTTGGTTAGGTATTGCTACAGATTACAGGGTGATTCATCTTCATAACCATTTAATAATAATATTATTATTATCATTAATAATGTTACAATCATTAATAATTGGTCTATAAAATGGTATTGAAATGATATTCATTACTGGACAATTGGTCTTGCCCTCCAAGCCAATCTAAAGGACTATGCAAGTAAGTTAATAGTATATTTCCTGACTTAATTTAATGTTAACTAATCTTAAAATGTTTTCAATTTTTTAAGACTCATCAGTTAAAGAGATAATATCAGCCTAATCGAGTGTAATGATCGCCCGTGTTAACATTAACATGTAAACATTATTTACTTTGTTTCCATTTACTCGATTTTGGACAATAATATTTGTTGACAATAAAACATTAACTTAACTATTGAATTTATCAATCCCTAAGCCTAACTAGAACCATATTCAAGTCTAACATTAAAGACGCTGTAAGAAAATTTAAGTTTTTATTGTTGACATATTTAAAGCTGTATCGATATTCAATAGATGTATCGATTAGGATTGATGGTAAAATATCGTTTGTCTTTTTTATCCTTTGTGTAATCGGGAAATGAAAGGTAAATTGATTTGTTTTTATTGTGGGTTTAATATTAATAGCAATTATATTATTAATTTGTGTATTTTTTGTTTTAGTTTCCAATGGTTATCTAAAATCCATTGCTGGGTTGCCTCATTGGACTGGAAGAGGACTTTGTGGTCGGATTACCCCGCAATCTGGTTCGATACCTCTTTTAGGTTTAAGAATGTCTTTTCGAGGAACCATTGAGATGCAATCAATTATTGGACAAACCGAATAACATAATGTACAACCGGTGCAGTCATCTGTTACCTTTGGTATATGAGTTACTGGATCAAAGTTGATTGCTTGGTAACCAGAATCGTTACAAGTCATGTAGCATTTACCACAATTAATACACATATCCTAATGAGAGTGAGACAATTAGATATTTTTATTGAAAAGTTATTCATTTTTGTAAAACAATTTTAAATTTTACCTCATCGATTAAAGCAACTACTTGTTGTTTTGTATCTAGTTCACCAAAAGTTCCGATTCTAGGGACAGCTTCACCAATGATATCCTGTAATAATCAATAATTATTTGAAATTATCTCTTCTAGCTTAGCTTAAATCTTCATTTACCTTGATGCGAGGAATTGGCTTTCTGTAATTGGCGGAGTCATCACTGGTCTTATCTTGATTACCATTTACTGAGTTAGTTGGTTTACTTTCATTGAAAGCTGCTCTTCGCATTTGGCCCACAAGGTTTTTCTTCTTTTCAGCAAAGTGTCCAAAATTTGGTAAATCATTACCAACCAAAACAACTGGTTTACCTTTTTGATGTTTAAAAGTCGGTGGTGATTGGAAATTCCAATCAGGATAGAGATGGCGATTGGCTTTCAAGTAAAGACAAGCTTTTAGTCCATCTACGTAGTCATCAATTAAAGTGAAATCTTGATTTTGCACAGCAGAACAGACCTATCGGGAATATTCAAATTAGTCATCTCTATAAGACTTACAAGCTTTGACCAACATCTGTTGGACAACGCTTACCTGAAGCAAAGAAGCTCCGGCCATTATAAACTGGATTCCAACTTCAGCTGAATCTATCCCGCCAGTTGCCAAGATTGGAAAACCAGGGAGTATTTTGGAAATAGCTGAAACTCCTCTCAATGCAATAGGTTTAATAGCGGAACCACTGACTCCACCATAAGTTGATCGCTTTTGGATTCCAACTCCAGGCCATGGTTCAGCTCTATCATTTAATCCCATCAACCCAGAAACAGTGTTAACTGCTGTCACTCCATTCGCTTTACCTTAAAACAGAAGCATTTTAATCAATTAAAAAAATGTCAATCGAGATGAAAAAACCAATCTAATACCTTCATGAGCAGCTTTAGCTATGGCACAAATATCTGTAACATTTGGTGTGAGCTTAGCAAAGAAGGGAATTTCAACTGCTTCCCTGACCCATAAACAAATTTGTTTAACTAACTGTGGATCTTGACCACAGGCTAACCCCATGCCTCTTTCACCCATTCCATGTGGACAAGATAAATTAAGCTCTAGAGCATCAGCGCCAGCTTCCTCTGCGAGTTTCGCCAACACTTTCCAATCATCTTCGTCAAAAGAGCACATTATACTGGCGATAAGAATATTGTCTGGAAAATCGCGCTTAATCTCTTTTATTACTTGCAACCAATATGCACAACTTTTTTCACTAATCAGTTCAATATTTAGAAAAGAGCCTAAATTAGGACCAAAAACTGGACCAAAAGTAGTTCCACGAATGATTCGAGGTGATACGTTGGTAACCAGATTTTTATCCAAACTGAAAGTTTTAGTTAATGCGAAACCCCAACCAGCTTCAAATGCCCTTCTGATCATAGGCCCAGAAGTTGTCGGTGGTGCAGAGGCTAGACCAAATGGATTCTTGAATCGTAAACCAGCGACTTCAACACTTATGTCAACACAATCAATTGGAGTATAAAATTTAGGTAACTTGGGAGTTTCTGGTACAACATCTTTGAATAGAGACTGTTGAAGTAAAAAAGCCAAACATTAGTAATCACGACAAGCAACAATTATGGTATAACTACTTGAATATATTTATGGATGGACCATGCAGCGGTTTTACCGTCATTTACGGACTCAACAGTTGTCTCTGCAATACCAGCGATATCTCCACCCGCATATATCCAATCAACATTTGTTGCCATTGTTTTCGCATCGATAATTGGTAAACCCTGATCGTTAAGTTTGACTGGATCTAGAGCTAGTTTAATATCTTCCGAATCCAATGTTGACCCAAATGCCGAGATAACTATGTTGGTTTTGATTTTGATAAATTGATCTTCATTCTCAATCAATGCACCACTTGTTGGATCCAACTCTGTTCGGACAAAAATCATTTCAGTAATTGAATTGTTGGGACCGAGAATAACCTCTCTTGGCGAGCAAAAAGGTATAAATTCACACTTTTCCTGTCGAGCTAATTCCATTTCTTCTGGCACAGCTTTTATATTGGTGAATCCTCTTCGAAATATAACAGTGACACGTCGAGCTCCACACCTAAGTGCTGAAGTGGCACAATCAAAGGCAGTATCACCGGCTCCAAGAATCAATACATTTTTCCCTCTAAAGTCGGGTAATAAAGTCAACTGTTTACAAGAGCAAAGGCCCGGCTTTGAAGCTTCCGAGACTACGGGAAGAAACTGTTTTGATGTATAATAACCCTGAGATGGACCCAAATTGCCAAAAATAGATAATGATTTTGGTTCTGGTAAACCTATTCCAATGAAAAGAACTTTGTACCCATCATTACGAAGCGACTGGCAAGTGAAATCTTTTCCTAAAGATGAATTCGTTCGTATTTCAACTCCCAATTGTGTCAACAAAGATATTTCAAAATTAACAGCATGTAATGGTAATCGATATTGAGGAATCTCTGAGCTAGACAATCCACCAACATATTGTTTTGATTCAAATATTGTTAAATCAGTATAACCTAATCGAGCTAAAAAGGTAGCACATGATATTGATGCCGGTCCACATCCAATTAAACCAATTTTGGTTCCATAGGATTTAGGTGAATGATCGTACGGATAAACATCTTTTGGGGGACGAATCTGTGGGATCTTCATCAATTTAAAAACCTTGAAGTAAATTGTGGAGGAAGGAAGAAAATATACTGATTAGATAATAACAGAACAATGGAAAAGGATCAAGTTTAATTTACCTCGGTGGCAAATTGTTGTAAACCTCCAATATTGATTGGTCCCTCTTCAGTGGCATACAAGTTACATCCACCAACACACAGATCGCTGGTTGGACAAATCATCCCACAAGTTAACCCTAAAGGATTATCTGAGAAAATTGCTTTGGCAGCTCCATAATAGTTCTATGGCAGAACAAGAAATAGAAACGAAAAAAGTTCTATCAATGGCGTTGAATATTTAATCAAGATTTAGCCAATAAATGATACACCACTTCAGTTGGTCATGTGCTGGGTTTTTGGGTTAATTTGTTGAAAAGAGTGGAGAAAATCAAGAATTAATCTTGTTTATGCATTGATACACAACAAGATTAAAACAATTTCAAGCGGCCATATTGAGATGGCGATGAAATGGCCATAATGATGCCCACGTCACCAAGAGCTAGGATTCTCTGGTATAAATTACGTAGGAAATGTAAACATTGTTTCAACCTTTCAGTGAATCAGCTTTAATCAAAACCCAAACAGCTTTTAATACCAGCTAATAATTACCAGCTACCAGATTGAGAAACATTTGGCTTTTTAGGTCCATTGACTATTGAAATCGATCAATTTACCTTATTACTGATCATGGTGATGAATGATTTTATATCAATACTTGTAGGACAACTTTTTTGGCAAGGAGCGTCTGCACATTTCAAGCATCTCATTGCTTCCTTTAAAGCTCCTCGTTCACTCAATGTTGTGTGTTTAATATCATCAAAATTGTTTTCCAAATCAGTGCAGGTCTGAAATAAGATGAAAAATGATCAGCATTAAAGTCTAACAAATAAAATAAGCTTAAATTACTTCGACTTACCGAACAAGTTTTGTCCTCATTTCGTTTCCAGTGTTTCTTGTTGACTTTTGTCTCAATACTTGGGATAACATTTGCATGAGCTCGAGTTTTCGGATTCAATTGAAGTAAATTCTGTCAACGAGTGACCAAATAATTCACAATTAATTTTAAAAATGAAAATTGAAAGAGATGAACAAGTTTAAATGATTTAAATTTAAAAATGAAAGATGATTATCCTAATCAATATCAATAGCTCTCCCTGACTGCTAATCAATAAGGAGAAGTCATTGGTAAATGAAACAATTGTTTGACAATTTATCAGATTTTGTAAATGACTTTTCAATTGGTTAGTTTTAATCAAAGGACATGACAAGGAGAAACAACCTTGCAACAATTTGATTAATCGTCAATAATAAAGAAAAACAAATGAAATGAAGCAATGATAATTACAGCAATGAAGATGACAAAAACAAAAATTAACTGCCAATCAGATAATAAATCATAGACAGAAGGCAAAAAAAGATGAAGATTAATAAAAGTAAAAATATTTAAAATTACTTCTAATCACAAAAATGAATGTAATAATGTAAAAAAACAAGAAAAACTGACCAATTGTAAGTTACATTAATTTTCCCACAAGAATTGTTACAATTAGTCAACATTGCTGCAAAAAAGACACATTAATGGTTGTAAATGATTACCTCAATATCAGGTGGATCTCGGCTAAGCTCCAAAGGCATTTTTTAAATCAAATTGGGTTACAAGTTGATAGCGAATCAGCACAGGTTTAATGATGGATTAACAAATTATGAGCTATTTAGAGAAGAGAGTGAGAAAAAAGGAAGAAAAAAATCAACGTAATAATCTTGAAATTGGTTAAAATTGAACCATAATGAAGAGTGTAAATCAAATTAAATGCTGGGAACAAAAAAAACTAGAAATCCAATCAAGAAGTTGATTGGTTACTGTGGAGATTGATAATTTGATTTTCCCAAGTGGTACATTAAAATCAATTAAAGAGACAAGATCATTAAGATTGAGCTAGACTAGGTCATGTGCTTAACAATTTAAGCATTTTACTTGATCATTATCATGAAAACATCGATTCTTTATCTCTTCTCATTTCAAGTTTCATGGATTTCATCGCGTTCGCTTTTTGATCAGCTCTCAACACAATACTGAACACCTTGATCTTCACAGTAATTTCACGCATTAACAATTGCTAATTGTGGTATTTTTGGTTGATAAAAAAAAGGTTGAGAAAGTAAGAGAGAAAGAGAGCTTTGACATTTGGTGATGTTGACAATGAGAAGATTTGCTGAGTCCGAATAAAGCTTGTAGCATGACAATGAATTTTTTTTTGGAAGTTACAAAGTATTGGTTTATTACGGCAAAACAATTCTGATAAAGTACAAATAAACCGGAAATTTGGAGGTTTGGGTACTTTGTAACATCCAGGATTTTTTTTGTTTGTTGTTGTGACAGAGATTTAAGGGGACAGAGTACAGATTTGATGGGGTTGTTGATTTGATATCCAAACTAGGCCTTTCAAAAGAAAGTTTTATAACGTTGACGGAGGTTGGGCGGGTCAGTGTGGGAAATGGGAAGAAAGCCAAGACATTTTTAATGAATTAGACTAACTTTATAGGAAACCGACCGAAATTCGAAGGGAAACAGGACTTGCCAGAGCCAGACGGGAAAGATTGAGATTTTTTTATACATATATATATATATCTATAAGGTTGAAAACTAGGAATTGTTTTTTGTGTTTTAAGGTAATCCCCTAAAGAGTCCAGTGTCATGAAGGTACAACTTCCTGTCAACTGAGCTCCTAAGGAATAGAAATTCTGTTTCCAGGAGCGGGTATGTTGTTTGTTGCTGCTTGATGTTTTTGTCTGTTGTTAAACAGGAAATCAAATATTCCATAGGATAGAAAAAGAAATGAATACAAATTTTTGCTCAAGAGAGAGCAGAAAGAGAGAGAGAGAGAAAGAGATGGTGAGAGATAGAGAGGGACAATGTCAAAGAGAGAAGGTGAAAGAGGGAATAAGGAGATTCTCGACCAAAGGATGATCGAAAAGAATTTGTAGTTTTTTTACTTCGTTTTCGTGGAATTGAAGTCATTCTCTTCGTTTTCAGTGTCTTCCATCTGAAACTCTGGAACATATAAAGATTTGTCAATGACTTTGGGGATGGGTTTGATGTCGGTTCCCAGTTCCTGTTCAATTCGGTGAAGATTGAATCGATCTTCGTATGTGATTAAGTTAATAGCAATACCCATGTGTCCGTATCGTCCCGATCTTCCGATTCTATGTAAATATGTTTCTGCCATTTTAGGAAAATCAAAGTTGATCACCACGTTCACTGCTTGAATGTCGATACCACGAGTGAAAAGATCTAAGAAATATTGAAAATAAAATTATTAACCGTGAACTTAGAATGGGTATAGATAGACATACCAGAGCAGACCAGATTACGGCAGAGACCGCTTCTAAAGTCATGAAATACTCTATTACGATGAGGTTGAGACATTTTCGCATGAATGTAGTAACATGAATACCCAAGTTCAGCAATCTTTTTTGCCAAAAGTTCAACTCTTTGGGTTGAATTACAGAATATGATGGATTGGTTGATCTGTAACTTTGAAAATAAAGTGTTTAGACAATGCACTTTTTGACGTTCCTGGACAAATGCGTAATATTGAGTTACTCCTTTAAGGGTCAACTCTTCCATAAGATTTAGCTCATATGGATCGTGAAGATGTTTTTTCTGTGAACAAATAATATCGAGACAATAATTTAGTTATAAATAGGCCAAAATAGGTTTGAAGGTTTTAAATTAAATATAGCACGTTGAGATTTTAGCCTTACCATGAAATTTTCCACTGTGAGAGGAAATGTAGCTGAAAACATCAAGATTTGCCTGTCTTTGGGACAATAGGAAATTAACGAGTCCAGCATAGCGTTAAAGTCTTGCGAAAGTAGCTTGTCAGCTTCGTCCAAAACCAACATTTTACATTTATCCACTTTAGCAACATCTTTGTCAATTAAATCGAGAATACGACCAGGAGTAGCGATAATGACATGAACTAAAAATTAGCAGCAAAGGCAAGTTAGCTTACATGTGGTATCAGGTGAAGTAAATGAGGTAAGACCCAACTAACCTTTTTCATAGATTCTCATAATATCTTCTTTAAGATTTGTACCACCAGTGGTAACCATAACTCGACAATTTATATATTTTGCAAGTTCAATGCAAATTTGACTTGTTTGTAAGGCCAATTCACGGGTTGGCACAATGATTAACGCTTGTATGTGATCAAGAGAAGCATCAATCCTTTGCAGAATGGGGATGATATAAGCACCCGTTTTACCTGTTCCATTTTTAGCCCGAGCCAACATATCACGACCAAGAAGTGCCATTGGAATAGCTGCTTCTTGAATGGGTGAGGGTTTATCCCAACCCTTTTCAAAGATGCCCATGAGGAGCTCACGTTTTAAACAAAATTCGTCAAATTCATTGCCCTTAGTGGCAGTAACATCGCTAGTCCTTTTTCTCAAGTCCTTAGGTGGGATCTTAAGGCTTGATTTCCAGTCATCTGCAGAAGTGTCCCTAATGAAGAATATAAAAATAGAGAGAAAAGAGAAAGAGACAAAAAAAAGTTGAGTTTCAAGCTAGACTCCTTAGAAACAAGAGTATAAACCGATGAAGGGCGAACAACAGCAAGAACAATATTCAATTGATCACAGAAAATCAAACAGCCTGATGATGATACGATGAAACAAAAGGTGCTTACCTTAAGCCACCATTCTCTTTGGGACCTCTTGGAGCCTCTTTAACAGTTTGCATTATATATTAAACCAAGCAAATGAACAGAATAGATGAAAAGAAGAAAAAACGTTTTTTTTGTCACTTAAACACAGTTGAGTTAAATGTATAGAGTTGAAAGATTGTGTTAAAGATTAAAATGATGTTCACTGATGAGAGAGGAGGTGATTAAACAGAAATCAATTCTTAAATTATATAATTTTAAATATATTTATATATATTGTTATTTTGCGAAAACAGATTAAAGTTGAAATCTAGACACAGAGCAAGAAGAAAATAGAGAGACAGAGAGAAAGAGAGACAGAAACAAAAAAAGAGATTAACACACACAGAGTGAGAGCGAAAGAGAGTAAAATCAAAAGCAGACAGTAAACAGGGAGGACAAATGGCGGAAGAAAGGGAAGAAAGAAGAAAGGAGGAGACAGAAAAAGGAGAGAAAGGAAAGAAAGGAAAGAAAGGAAAGAAAGAAAGGAAAGACAGAAAGACTTCTACAGTATATTGCAATAGAGCTTGCTGTTAAGCTTTTTAGTTTTATATACAGCATCAGTAAATCTTTCCCCATTTACTATCCCTGTTCCTGCACCAATAACAACATCTATCATGCTTTTCCCACTTCAGAGTTTTCCCCTTTCAGGGAACATATTTTCATTACAAACGTTTCATTGTTACAATAGTCATAAAAAATGGATTCTAATTAAATTGGAAGCAATTAGCATTTCTTTTTGATAAATTGTTGTAACAAATTTTACAAAATGCCAACATTTGTTTACTTTTTTTTCAACTTGAATCGGTTAAAACCTGAAATTTAAGGTAAACTTATGAATTGTTGCCCTTTACCTTGCAGATTATCATTGTATAATTATTCAGGTTATTTACCCTGTGAATTAATCTCACGTTGCTAATTGTATTGTCATCGGTTGCGTTGAATTAAATTAATCTAGATTAATCTAAATTGATTAAACAAGAATGTAAATTTTAATGGCTAACGGTAACTAAAGATGACGCCACTTAATTCATTGAGATTGGGTTGTGTGTTTGATGACAAAAAAAAGCAAAAATAATGTTGAGAGTTTTTTGTTTGAATCTGAGTCAGATAACATGAATGTAGCATGAAAGTGAATTGAATACCAATCGTTAGTTGTTGCCCAAGTGTCAACCTAAGTCAACACTGTCAAGTCAACTTTTAATGATTATTTTAATTATAACATTTTCCATGTTAAAAGATGAATTGATTAATTGTTACATTTAGCTTTTTTTCCCTCTTTCTTCGTCTTAACGTGATTTTACACTTGTGCCCCTTAAACGACCATCTTTGTTTCTTCTTCTCATCAATTTTTCGTTATTTTCATGTTAAATTGTTGTAATTTAAAATTAACCATTCGCATTTTCTAATTGTTTAATTAGTTAACAATCAGTTTACTCGTTTCTCCAACCAATTTGGCCTTTAAAGTGAAATAAACTCTACAATTTTCACATTTTATCTACTCTTGAAACAAAAGGACAACCAAAAGGATTAATCTTAAATTTAATTTTTTTATTCAAGTGTCTCATCTCATCCTTTTTTTGTCAACATTAATTGCCAACCAAAGACTTATTGACTCAATTCCTACCATCTTCAGGTAAATCAACTTTTCTTAATACAAGTGTTTTTTTGTTAAAATAAAGCCAAGAGTGTTGCATTTTAAAAATGAGAAACTATCCAGACATGGCTAAAGATTAGCATATTTTAAGGCTTTGACTAGATAACCTAAATTGTTGCCAGTTAACTGGTCATTTTTAATTCTATAGACAGTTTAATCCGGCTAGAAGACGATTTTTTTCTCTGTAAGTGTAACACTCTAAGTTTTTTTTTCTTGTTTTCTGTAACTTGCTTTGAAACAATTTATCAATCACTCTCATTGTGACCTAACGATTTAAGGTAAAGACAGTTTAGTCTGTTATTTACATAGGAAAGTCATTAAAGGATTAGATACAGCATTGTGATTACATTTAGATTGAGGTAAACAATTTCTTGAGACAATTTCCTATCGTTAGATGAAAAGAATAGAACAATATGATTACCCTTGAAATTTTCATTTCATGCGAGTTTCATCATTCTCTCTTTACTTCCAATGAAATAAGGTAATGTGTTGATAAACTGGCAGCAAAATTTAACCATTTTTGTTGATTACTTTCATTATTATTAATAATGAAACAGAAAGTGAGAACAGTGAAACAAGAACAAAAAAGACCTTTATTTACTCAACAAATATAGTGTAACAATTTATTACCATTACTATCACATTTATTGTTATTATCAAATTATGCTGATTATTTTTCCTCTGATTTTTATTTCAGTTAACTCCAAAAAGGAATCAAGAATCACCAAAAGCAAACCAAAAGAGGAACCAAAAGAGGAACCCAGCAAAAAAAAGAAGGAGGAAAAGGTTGAAACGTGAAAGAAGAGGAAAGGTTTCGATAAACAAAAGACGATCAAAGGAGAGTCAAAAAGCCGTTAAATTACAGTTTTTACAATAAAAATAGGGAAACAAAGTAAATAAAAATATTCAAAGGTGATTTACTTACCCAAAGCATCAATTAATTGTGGACAATAACAATCATCAACCTTCTGTAGTTGAATTCCCTCGATAAAGATCATTTCTGTCATCCATTATCACCTCAACTCATCATCTTTCAACTCATTCTCATTCTTCTCATCATCATTCTCATCATCCCAAAGGATAGTGAGAGTAAGAATCTTTATTTAATCATTATCAAGTCCAATGTAATAAGTCACCGGAATAATAAATGGGAACAGAAAGAAGGAAAAAAGCACAAAAAAAGCCTCACAACGAAAAAGGAAAAAAAAGCAAATTCCAATTCTTACAATTCTCAACATTTTCATTGTTTCTCGAGAAAAAAGAATAAGAAAAGAGGAGAAAAAAGCGAAAATATAATCGCTTTTGACTTCAATCATTTAATGAGTTAATATTGAATTGTAACGAAAATTCATTGGAATGTTAAACAGTTATTTACTTTAACTATTGATTCGTTTGTCAACTTCACCAGCTTCTTTTATCCCTCCAATGGAAACATTTGAAATGAGATTTTTCAAGATTACTTTAGTCAAAGTTTCAAGCAACTCGGAGTCTTCAATATTTGAAACAAGTTATCTCGCTTTCATCCAGTAATCATAATTTTTACAAGCAAAAGAAACGTCAATATTACAGAGAGAAATAATTATTTCAAGTGATCAAATTTTGCTGAACAAAAGAAACGTCGAAAGAAATATTCTTCCCTGAGAAACCTTTTTCATCCTTCCCTGTTAATCTCATCATTTTCATTGTAACAATAATTTTACAGAGGCTTAATACAATATCTAACATAATTTAATACAATTGGTTGACATTGATACATAACAAAGATATCAATTATCCTTCCCAAGGGTCAACTTGAAATGAAAGTCAGCTAATAAGAAATGAAATGAAGAGGCGAAAAATTGAGCAAAAACAAGAAAAGCCTTTTAACATGATAATAAACATGAAAATTTGCTGAAAAGGGAAAAGCTGTTGAAATGAAAATTAGAAACTCTGACTTAATAAGTTTCCCAAAACTCAAATTTCAAGTTAAAACATTCAATGGCAGAAATAAATTCATCTCTTCATTAATCAATCTCAATATTAACATGAAAATAATCAACTTTATTGATTACTTTTCATTGACTTTCAATTTATCAAAAGCAAGCCATTTGTTTCAATTTAAAGCCAAAAATTCATCTTGCTCTTTGATCAAGAAACTATCATTTTGTTATTTACTGAAAATTATGTTCAACTTGAACTAATTTCATCTTTCATGGTTTACATGAGTTTTATCATCAGCCATTATTTAGTTTATATCTTTCGTTCAATTTCAAAGTTTATCTTCCCCTGAAAATGGAAAAAGTTTATTCTTTAAACAAATATTCAATAATTTTATTTCCAACTGAATAGACTTAATCAAGTTACTTTATTAATTATTAGTTATTGCTATCATTTGATATAAATCAAATAAAAGAGTAAATAAATTGAACGAAGAAAAAAAATGAAAAATGATTTTCGAATTGAATAATTTGATTAGAAAGACTCGAAATTTCATGTCAACATCTTATTCAGTCTTCAATCAACAATTAATTGGCAAATGTTTAGTTTGGAAGAAAAGATTTTTTTCATTTTCTCAACAATTTCTGAATCTGAAGCGACAATGAAATTCCTCTTGGAACAATGTTCAGTTTGAATAATTTTTCGATCTCTTTTCAGCCTTTTTGTTGAACATTTTTGTTCCATTGCTGTCGAAAGGTCACTTCATGAAATGACGAAAATTGTGAACCTTTTTCTTCCTGTTTAGCCCTCAACTCTTTACTACCTTTTCAAGTTTATTTTGATCGCCTTGAAAAGGAATGAAAACTTTTCAAGAATTTTATTTCCTACCTTTAATAAGAATAGTTGAAGATGAGAAAATATCATTTTGTTGGAAAAATATTTTTCTTCTCATAACAATTGAATGCTGGGAAAAAGCAAAGAATAAGATGTGAATTGAATTGAATGAAAGGAGAAGAAGAAAAGAAAAGTTCAATTTAAAGTTGAAATGGAAACAAATTATGACAGATCAATGAGCGAATTTCATATTTTCAGGTTTTCCATGTTTTTCTTTGTGTCACTTTTATCACTCATTAAATTAATTATTTATTGAATTTTCAGTTGAAGTGTTTATTGAATTAGTTTTTACTGTTATTTCATTGAAACTTTGATTTCAATATTTTATTGAAATAAAATTGTTTCCAAAGAAAAGATTGAAAAGTCAATTTCATTTTCATCAACATTTCCATGGTGAATCAGCTTGTTATCAGATAAATTGTTAATGAAATTTGTTGAGGTTAAGATTTGATTCCCATGATTATTAATAGATTAACTTCAATTATTCACTCGGCTCTGTTCAGTGAAACAATGAAACTTTGAAACAATTCAACTTGAAAATCTCCAAACTCTGAAATATTGAACTTTATCATTTCATCTTTCATTTTGCTCTTCCAACCTGTTTAACATTCAATTTACCAAACTTCAACCAATGAATCTTTTTTCTTCTTGTTTCATTTGCAAATGAGTTGATGAATTTTAATTGAAAATTATGAGATGAAATGCTGTTGATAGAATGGTACATTTGCAGGTTAATCAATCATGAATAATGAATTCATTGGACAATTGTTCATAATCGTAATCCTGTTTAATCGGATTGAAGCTGATTAATCTGACATTCCTTGAAAGTGACAACTAATACTTGGTAATGCACTAAAAGAGCAACTAATAATGGTAAATTAATAGTCTTGTAATTATCATAATAACATGCAAAAAAGAGTTTTTTTTTCAGGGAAAAAGGAAAAAAGTTGAAGATGCAAAAAAGATGAGGAAAAAATGTGACACCAAATAAGTCTGATAATATATTTGTTGAGCTTTCACACAAATCATTCATTACAAAGAGACTGATGATGATGAAGATGAAAATGAAGTGAAAGTCTCTTTTTTTTCATCTTCTTCTTCCTCTCTTCATCTTTACTTTCATGTTTATCTGTCCCTTTACTGACCACAAGTTGCAACTCCTTTGACAATTGGTTAAGAGAGATTGAATGGCTGAATGTCAGTCTGGTTAAGCTGAAAGATGAATCCCTGTTGTGGTTAACTGTGTTTCCGGTTTCCAGGGAAATAAGATGATCAAGATGGGAATGATGGTCAAGATGGAAACAAATGGACAGAAAGAGAAAAAACAAAGTCCACTAAATGTACTGAAACATGTTAACAATGTACTCTCGTCTGATTGACTAATATATTAACTGGTAAAAATAAGGTAAAATGTAATTAAAGACTTGAGTAATGATGAGTTGGTATGGAGCGAGAAAGTGGATTAAAGGGAAAAGAGTATTCATTCATCTTCATCATTCTTCTCACAATTGCTATTTAACCCGATTATCATGATTACACATTGATTATGTTGATTGTTCAGATCAACTTGACCAACTTTCATCAATAATCTGCTCCAAGGTAAAAGGTCGTCTCATCATTGACTCGTTTCAAGTACAAAATGTTTTTTCCCTTTCCGCTCTTTTCATTCCCTGTTTATCCCATTAACTTTGATGAAATCGTTTTTTGTTTAAACATTTTTACAACCTTTATCAAATGTTTCATGGTTCTTGTCATTATGAATAATTGAACATTGAATGATGAGTTAGTCAAGTTCACTATCATCAGATTAACTTGTGGATTAATTCTGATTTCAGCATTAATCAACATAATCTTGATTCAAGCTGAACAGACCTATCGAACGACTTAGTAAATCAGGAAAAAGAGTGACTATCAGTGGTGATTCACAGTTCCTTTTTATGGATTTAAAGAATCTCGAATTGAAAAAATGATTAATTTTTCGGATAAAGATAGAGCTTTTTTGATTGAGCATTATTTTCACAATAATTGTGATATTAGTGCGTCAATACGGGCATCGTCAACCTATTCTCATGAAAAACAACCTCGGAATGAATCTATCAACGAGTAGGCGAAAAATCCCAATTTTTGGTGTTTTTTTTATTTTTTCTGCAAAGTGGATAGAAAAATTTGAAAATGAAATGTTTGTGATGCAAAATGAACCTAAATACTGCAAAACCCCTGAAAATATTCATGCGGCTAAAGAAGTAGTCGAGGAAAACCCAGAAATTTCAAGCAATAAATTAGCTCAAATTGTTGGCACTTCTACACGCTCTGCTGGGCGTATTTTCAAGGATGATTCAGGACTGAAGTCGTATAAAATCCAGATCAAACAACAATATAAGCCATTCATTTTGTTTGCTCGTTGTAATGTTTTGCTGAAAAAGCTGATTTTTCTGCTTATCTTTGTACCTCGGATACATGCTGAGCACCAATCAATATGCAGATAACTTTTTCAAGTTTGCGTTCTGGATAGACGATTTCAAGATTGTATTCTCTTGAAAGATAAAACCACTTTTAATGTAAACCTCATGGAGCTCGACAATTATCAACGACAAATCATAGCTGCAAAGTCGCTATTTCGCTACCAGCTATTTTCTTGAAAATCTCTTTCGATGATTTTTGAACAAAACTGATCTATTCATGAGTCTACACTTTCTATATACATCCAGCAAAATATATGCAGAATGGAACTTTTAGATTTCGTGAATAACAAATCATTTGTCTAATCTTAAAAATTGATGTAAAAAGATGAACAGAAAGCATAAATCATGAATCAATGAATCAACAAGTCAAACGAAACGAAAGAAACGTTTGCCTGTGAAAAAAGCAAAATGAAATTTCATCTGTCATGAAATGCTCACAGTTGATAATGTAAATTGAGATGTGAACAAAATCAACTTTTATCCTTTCTCTTATCAAACAGTCAAAATCATTTTGCCATCAATATTTCAGATGAAAGCTGGAAAAATAGTGTTTGACAAAAAAAAACAAAACAAAATGTAAAACAAAAGTTGAAACATTTTCCAAAGCCTGTTGATTTGAAACGTAGACAACATGGAAATGTGTTCAAGTCCTGAACCAGGATTCAACTGATGACAGTTCATTCCTTTCGCATTTACAACAGATTATCAACTATTTTCCTCTCAAAGATCAATTTCATCTTTTCTCTCGTCGATAATTTGTCGACTTTTCACTTTGCTCTCTTGCAAACCTCTTTACCTGTTGAAAAGTTGTTCATCTAATTTCCTTTGATTGTCAATATGAAATTCAATAACATGTAAAGAGATAAAGCTCGGGAATTGTGAAAAGTGTGTTTAGTGTTGAAAGTCAATCTTGGAACTAAATATTACATGGAAGGTGAGAAGGAAAGAAAAAATTAAAGTAAACAAGGAATAGAAGGTTCAAGTTGTACTTTGGATTGGAGAGGAGGAAGAAGAAGAAGGAAAGAAAAAAGCAAATATTCTGATTCCTTTGGGATGAGAATCATGAACAAGAAAATGTTGTAAATAATATTGACATTATTCTCATCCCTTTACCTTTCAATATTTTACAGTGAATACAAAGCGACATGATGATCATGTTAAGTCAAAGACGAGTTTTTGAAAAAGCAAATGAGAAGCAAAAAAGTTTCAACAAATTTCCTTTTTTCCCTTTTTCTGGTCAAACATGAAGCAAAGTTTGAAAAATAAGTTTCCAATCAAGTGAATCGCTGTGAAAGCAGATTAACATTCAATATCAAACTGTTTAACCTGACAATTTGAAGGGTCAAAAGACTGACCGAAAAGGTTATTTTGATCAAGAAAAGAAGTTGGAGAGAAAAGCTAACTTGGAATTGAACAATTTTTGTTTCAAGAATTTCATTCAATTCAACAAAATGTTCAT